TTTAAAAGTAACCTTCACAACACTGTTAGTAGAATCTTTAGTGTTTCACTGATTGAATAATTACTGCTGACATATCGGTACAAAAGCTGATGTCTGCAAAACGAGCAGCTTCCCCGACTGCTTTTAACCCGTCAGATAGGCGCACATCTGAATTTGAACTGAATCTTTATTTTGAATGTTAAATATTCTCATATTAAACTCAAACTGATAAGACAGATTGCCCTCTCTTTTGGGAAGTTGGCCGCAGCCGATTGACCGCAGACTGTGGCTTCCTGGACGGGGGGGTCAACCAGTGCTTTAATACAATATAATCATAAATGAAGTTTTTTGGCTGTGATTCCTCAGAGTGGATAAAGAAACATGATAACAGGAGACTGCAGTTAGATAAGAGATGAATAAATATTACAGGGCTGACTGAGTGAGGGCTGAAATATTGAACCAGAGCAGAGTTGATGATAGGACATGTAGAGGAGGTTGCTAGCTGTCGACAGCAGAGGCGTGAGCTCAGCTGAACTGAGCAGAGTCCAGACTGTGCAAACTACACTGGAGCAGAGTCTCAGACCTAAAGAAAGGCTACAGGTCCAGTGAAGAGGAGGCAGAGGTGGACAGTGTGATAAACCTTCACCGTTTCACTTCTATAACTGATTAAAAATGTATTAAAATGTTTCTTATTTTGTATTTCTTGTAGCCAAGAAAACTGTAGGCCAAATGTAGCTAATGACATGTTTCACAGTTCTTTTCAATACCTACTTTATTTTAACTCATTTGGATACTATAAGTTATCCAAACTTCTTCAAAATGAAATAATTTAAAAGTTTCATTTAAGTAAGTGTAGCTTAGTGTTGTTTGTCATACCTGTTGCTTATTATTGGGTCTAAAATACATTTTACGTTTACAAAGCAAAACAATAAAACTTCATCTTAAATGCTTTTTTTTGTCAAATCTTACAAACTAGACAAACAACCAAACTTCTTCTAGAGAAGTTTGACACAGTGAAAATGACCCACTCTGGCAGTTTGTGGAGTGGAACTGTGGAATGGGTCTGCTGTCGCAGGCTAGCGAGCCTGGAGGTGGAAAGAGAGGAAGTGGTTTTCCACCATTCCCGCCTCCCTCCACTGAGATGACCATCTCACAGATGTTGCTGCATTGCAACAGTGGTTTGCAGATGCCCAAACTATAATAATAATAATAATAATAATAAT